ATAGAAGAGAGTTTCAGAATTGATAAAAAAAGAACAAATGTTAAAAAACAATAATTGTAAATTAATTAAAAGGGAAAATTGTTATAAAATAGAAGCAATTTTGATTAATGTCATATTTTAAAAAATTAATTTTCAAAAAAAATTGTTTTCAATAATTAAATTTCAAAACTTCATGTTAATAAGTTTTGATGGCTTTATAAATAGTTTTTTTGGAAGTTAGTTTATCAAAATAAAAGGTTTATACGTTCATTTCATAAAATAAGAATGATAGTAAAACTGGTTGTATTTTGTTATAATTTTATTTTATAAAGCTCATGCTTCGACTTTATGTGTTGTTGCTCCTTTTACGACTCATGTGCTTACGCTTTTGTTACTTCATTTGTTTTTGCCTCAATGATATATGGTTTTCATGTTGTACTTTTAAGTAAGGGTTTTACATTGTGTCTTGGAAAGTGATTACAGGCTTTTGATTGTATTTTGATTTTTTGGAATTTGAATAGCAAAAAGTCATTTAACAATCAAGAGTCTTTGATTATATTTTGGTTAATTGAATTTTTTTTTTTGAAGTATATAATATTTATATATGATAAAATAGAACAAATAAACTTACGCATTCTCCTCACCTTTGGTGAGATTTGAACCCCTGACTTCCTAGAAGGACAAAGACTCATATACCGCTAGAAGAAAGACCTTTAATCAATTAAGTGAATATTGCATTCCGTGTTTTGATATGAAATGATGATTAGTCGTGGTTCTAAGGACGGTTGTAATGGTAAAAAATAATAATTCATGGCATTACCAAACTATATGCCATTGCCATGCATCACATTTCAAAGGTAAATTATCCAAATTGCCCTTGTGTGAGCATATATTCGAGGTTGTTTGTTTATCTTTTAATAGTTCCATTAAGAACAACATTTGAATCGTTAATAGATGAAACTTGTTCGGGAAAAAAAATTGGACTTTTAGTGGTTCTAAAACCCTCTGAATGATTTTGTATCTTGGGTTTTTCTTAACCATTTAGCGCCCTATCTTCGTTGTAAATAATTACCAAATAATTATATTTCAGTTTACACTATATCATGATAGTCTCTTAATCATTCTGACCACTTAATCATTTTGTACCAAACCGTTCAGCAACTGGCAAATAGCTCCGAAAGAGATTTTGAAAAACCGTATCACAAGAGTTCTTTAAATAAATGTAATCGATAAACAAAAACAAAAACGTAACACATTGACCAAAACAATAATCTTGATATCATTATATATGCAAAAGGAAGATGCACCTTCGAACGTTCAAAATCAAATTTGAATATTTTAAAATATTAAATTATAAGGTTATTTTTTGTTATCCACGTTAATAAGATGATAATAGGTTGAGGAACGGTGATGAGTATATAAAAAATATATATATATATATATATTAAAAAATTTGTGATGATGTTTTGATTATCTCACAAGAAAATAATAGATTACGAGAACAGGAATTGAGTATAGTAGGAATGACAAAAAGCCTGGAATCGAAGACCCAGGGTTTCAAAATAGTGTGAGGCAAGGTGTGGTATGGTGGTGAGGTCAAACCTTAAGCCTTACACGCCACAGCGAGGACACAACGTTTTTCAAGGCGTGAAATATATAAAGCGGAAATTTTTTATGTCATATTTAGAAATATATATATACATATATGTTTTTTATATATTATATAATCAGATAATAATATTAAAAAATATGCATTCATATTAGAAAAAGAAAAATCATATAGATTAGTATTATAAAAATAGTTTTTGATTAAATATTTAATATAGAACTTATAAAAGTAATTTTACAACTTCGTTTTAATCGTGAGTCCATAACATTTATGAATCCGTGAAACCATGAGTGATGTGATTAGATATATATCTATAAAAGTGTAAAATATAATGTTAAAAAGTGTAAAAACACAAAAGATAATATCTATACTTATAATAAATAAATAACTTGATTGACACATGTCATCTTCTGGTGAGTCCATTTTCTTGTTTTCCCGCTTAAACACGTATTTAGACACGATTTATTTTAGTGGTTCAATTAGACTCATTTGAACGTATTTAGACACGATTTACATTAACAGTTCGATTATACTCATTTGATTGACATGTGTGCTCTTATTCAATCAATCACACTAACTTATGATGCAATTGATTTTATTCTTGGGTTAATTAATTCGTGTGGTAACTGTTTCCCGAAAAAAATGGTGTTTACTTTTAAGTTAATTCAATTTACTGACATAGTTTCATTTCTAAACTTTAAGTTTTTTCTAGGGTTAACTTCATTTTATTCTAAATTCAATTTACTGAAAAGTTTTACTTCATAGTTATTTCAAGTGAACAAGTTTGAAGTCATTTTTCAGAGTTAGCTCATCCGAACTCTGAAGTTTGCTTTTTCAGACATAACTCACCCGAACTCTGCAGTCTGAACTCTAAAGTCTTCTTTTTCAGACTTACAAGTCTGAACTCTGAAGTCTTCTACAATTTTGAAGAGTCCAAGTCTGAATAGTCATTCTTCAGAGTTAGCTCATCCGAATTCTGAAGTCTTCTTTTTCAGACTTAGCTCACCCGAACTCTGAAGTCTAAACTCTAAAGTCTTTTTTTTCAGACTTAGAAGTTTGAACTTTGATTTAATGATATTGGTTTTATATTTGAGAGTTATTTCAAGAGTACAAGTCTGAAGAGTCATTCTTCAGAGTTTTATTTCAAAGTTATTTCTAGAGCACAAGTCTGAAGAGTCATTCTTCAGAGTTAGCTCACACGAACTCTATAGTCTTCTTTTTCAGACGGAGCACAATGTAGAGCCTCTACATAGTGCATGTAGAGCTTCTGGCTTGCATATACAGAGCTTTGAAGTCTTTTACTTTAGAGTAATTTCAAGAGTACAAGTCTTGTAATAAACTTATCTAGACTTTGAAGATAAGTCTTTAAGACTTAGATTTAGTTTTGTAAGCCAGATCCCCTCTGGTTAGTCTGGCTTCTGGACAACTTTGCTTAAGTATTTAACATTTTTTTTTACCCAGAGGCTCTGGTTGACCAGAGGGGCTTTGGTTGGCCTTGCTTTTGGTTGGTGAGTCCACAAGGGTTCTGGTCCTTAAGGACCAGAGGAGCTGGTTGGTCTTGCTTTGTATGATGCAAACTTTACCATGGGGTTTTTTTTCCAAATATATTGGGTATTTGAATAACTATGAACTCAAGGTTTTCATACTTCGTCTTCATATTTGATACAGACGCTCTTCTAAGTTTAAATTCAATTTACTAATATAGTTTCATTTCTAAATTTAATTTTATTTTAGGGTTAACTTCATTTTAACTAATTATTGATATAGTTTCATTTTTAAAATTCAAGTCTGAAGAAACATTCTTCAAAGTTATACTTCAGAGTTATTTCAATAGTACAAGTGTGAAATCATTCTTCAGAGTTATTTCAAGAGTACAAGTCTGAAGAGTCATTCTAAAGGCTGCGTTTGGTACATGGGACGGGACAGGACGGGACGGGACAAAACTCATTGTCCCATGTTTGGCGCAGCATGGGACAGGACAAGAACTCACTGTCCCACGTTTGGCGCGACATGGGACATGGACAAGAATTGGGAAAATGTGGGACAACATGGGACAAAAGAAGTTTTTTCTTGTTCCACCAAAATAGGTGGAACAAGACGGGACAATAATGAGACATAAAATAAAATATTACTAATCTACCCTAGTTTGATATATAACCTTAATATGGTTTTGTTTTAATGGTCATCACCGCTAGTTTCGGCCCCCGCCACCACTGCCGGCAGTCACCGGCGGCCACCTCCTCCACCACCTTCTCTTCCACTACAACAACATCCTCCACCGCCTCCACAACCACCGTCCAGCAAGTCCATTGCCATCTCTACCATCGTCGACTACCACTGTCCATTGCCACCACCACTACCGACGTTCGCCACCTTCAACTCCTCCTCTACTAACAACCTCCTCCACGACCACCATCGGCCACCACCATTCATTGCCACCTTACCTCCACCATAACCACCACCACTATCTTCACTACATCAACCACAACTACCTCCTCCACCGTTCTCAACCACCACCACCACCACAATCTACCATCTTCATGTCCTCTATAATCACTGTCGTCCACCAAGCACCACAAGCACCATTGCCTCTACCTCCATAACCACTGTTGGCCACCGACGACCACTGCTCGTTGCCACTACTACCGTTGGCCATCACCACCTCCACCAACACCACTACTACCATCAATTATATCAAAATTTTCATTCGAATTTGGTACAAATATGAAAATTATATACAAATATTTATAAATTAAATTCTTAATTATTACTTTATTTGTGTTAATTATAATTATTATATAATATTTTAAATCATTAAGTAACTTTTGGGGGTAACTTGTTTAGTTCTGTCTCGTCCAGTCCTAGTCGTATCAAACACCAGACATACTCCTGTTATGTCCAGTCCTGTCCAGTCTTACCTTCTTGTCATGTCCTGTTCAGTTCTGTTCAGTCCTATCCAATTATGTTTGCGTACCAAACGCTACCAAATAGTTAGCTCACCCGAAGTTTGAAGTATGTTTTTTCAGACTTAGTTCACCCGAACTCTAGAACCTGAACTTTGAAGTCTTATTTTTCAAACTTAGAAGTCTGAACTCTGAAGTCGTTTTTTTAGCCTTAGAAAAATAAGTCTGAAGTCTTCTTTTTCAGATTTAGAAATTTGAACTCTGAAGTCTTTTACAAGTTTAAAAAATCATTTTTTAAAGTTAACTCACTCGAATTTTAAAGTTTTTCTTTTTCAAACTTAGCTAAATAATAATAAAAAATAAATTATTTTTATAAGCAATCTCTGAGACTCCAAAAATTTATGTTAAAAAGTAATTTTTATAGCCGAGGAAAAAAAATGGGGTTTATACGTTTTACTCTTTATATTATTATTTTATTTAAAGTTTTACTTTCCCCTCATTTTTAGCCCGGGAATTTCATTTCCCCGCTTATTTCTCCCCCAAAATTTTCTAGGTCTCAAATCGAGGGTTCAACTTTGCAGTCAATTTTAAGGCGCACCTATCGAAATCCTAAACTCCATTGTTCTATTCAAGGTACTGGATTCCATTTTTGAAAGTCCTTCAGTTGAATTGTTTGAATTTTACACTCTAACACATACACGCATGTAGTAATCGAACTTTCACTCAGTTTTTTAGTTTCTGTTGAACCAGTGAAGGAGAAGAAACAATCGTCGTTCATGATCAGGTACCGGTTCCTTCAAGTGAAATCAATTGGCGCATACAAATTCTAGTACTCTCAAACATCATTTGTCGCCATTAGGATCGAAGATCTCACACTTTAAGGTAAATTTCTTCTTTTTTTCGTCATGTAAATCAAGCACACACATATGCATGCTATTTCTAATTTACGCATTGTGCTATCGACTAGTTTTTTTGGCCGATTAGTCTTGGTCATATCTTTGTGGTTACAATTACGATCTTAGGTATGTCTTGATGTGTGGTCTGAAACAGTCACTACAACAAATTGGATTTAGAGGAAACATGCTTAAAGGTTAGAGGTCTAAAGGTGTTACAATAAGTTCACAATAAGTTTTTGGGTGTCTTAACAAGTTTTTAGGACTAATTGAAATGAAGTGTACTATTAGTTTTTTTTATAGGACACAATTTTGAGAAGTATCCTATAAGCACATCTTTTTACATCACACTTGTTTATATAAGACATTTCTATATAATGTCATACGAAAAATAATTAGCATGCTTTATTTCAGAATTGTTCTAAATAAGATGCCGAAAAACGTTCTATAAACTTATTTTAACATTTTTACGTATGGCATACAAGTGCTTGGTGTTACAAATTATTTCTATGAAGCAGTTTATTAGAATACTTGGAATTTCTCTTGTGAACTCGATTTTGTTGTAGTGAATAGCACTAGTTATTCACTTTCTGTTGGTGATAAATTGAGTAACTAGATGGTAAACCATGATTTTTTTTTAAACCACAAGGGTGGTGCCTGATTGGTTTGAGTATGGCTCCAAAGGTCAAAAGTACCAGTAGGTCCTAGGTTCAAATCCAAGGAGGAATAAGAATCCCCTTGTGGCCACGGAGGTTCAAATGCGGTGTCTCCGGGTTATCTGCAAAGCAGGTGGTCGCCCTGGGATTAGTCCGCTCACATAGTGGGTTGGATATCCAGGTTAATAAAAAAAAAACCATGATTTTTTATGAGGTAAAACCATATATATGGGGTGACTATATACTCTCACTCCAGATGCTAATCCTCCATTGATCATTTGCATTTAAGAGAAGATTTAAATTTCTGATCTTCTCATTAGAGGAAAGTATTGATTGCACATAGTCACGACTTAATTTTGAACTGTTTTTGCAAAATTGGAAGTGGGAAACAGAGGGTATGATGCATTTTTGCTGTAGATTAAAAATGATTAACAAAAAATTTACATAAAAATAAGTGTGTAAATAGGACTTGAAACATCTTTATTGTAACAACCTCTGGTTTTATCCAAATATAAATTGTTGTCTGCATTTCCATTGCTTATGCTTAGACTTCACTTGCTAAGTAAAATTTGGCATGCATGAAAGAACCTAGAGATTGAAAATGGCACATTAATTTTTGGACACTTCACCTTGGCTAGAATTACATGCACATATTTCATATTTGTGCATTATTCCTTGATGAGATGTAGGATACGCAAGTGGTTGCCAATTTGAGACTTCTTTCACACTTTCACCACTGCTTTAAGTTGATTTGAATGTTACTGAGCTAGTATATTGTTTTGGATTTTTACCTCTCGAGACCAATTAAATGAAGTTCTTTGTCTATCTTTATTCTCATCAACATAATTATGCAAGAGATCCAATCCAACCATAGATCACATTCCAGTTTTGTTATCCAAAGGGCCATTGTCCTAGCGATATCCGGTAACTCAACCTACATAAAGGTCAAGGGTTCAAACCTCACCAAAGGTGAGCAGTGTTTGTGTGTTTAATTTACCGTATATAAATCTTATCTACTTCAATTATTTTGCCACTATAGTTCCTAATATATGGTTTACTCTTGTTGACTCACAAAAATGACATTTTTGATGTGGATCTGGAGCTAGATCATAAAGCAGCCCATGAAATCATTTCATATCTTGAATATAAAATTTTAGCGCTTTCTGTAGATGTAAATGCATCGCTAAACCATATGAAATGCGTCCTGCAAAGTTCTTTGTTATTTTTCTTGTCTACCATGTGTGTATATGATTATCGATTCTGACATATGTCACTAGAATTTACTGAAAGATGGCTGTTGTAAAAACCTCAAAATTACAACATATTGCTCATTGTTTTAGCGAAACATAAATACTCTCTCCATCATCCTTCACCGCCTCTCTTTGTCATCACTTTGCCAGAAGCATAGTGTGTTTCTGCAACCCTTTATTTTTTGCTGTTTCAGCCTAATTTCATGTGTGTTTGCATGATCAAGTTTGGTTTTTTCCTCCCCATTGATCCCTAAGTTGATGCTATCATTTAAGCTGCTGTTTATTGAGGAACGGACTAGGCATTTGTTTATGGATGTTCTTGTGGTTTAGAGTTTGTTGCTGTTGTATGATGTCTAATATTTCTTTTGATCAGGTATGGAACAAATGGCTGAATCACACCGCACAAAAAGGACAAGGATTAGTTGGAAAAATAAAAATGTTGTGAGAACTTTTTTAGAGGCTTGTATTCTTGAGGTTGCTATGAATAAGAAAGAAGGTGGGAGTTTGAAAGCACTTTCGTGGAAGAAAGTTGCCGAAACTCTAAAATCATTGCACAACTTTGAAGTTAATCGGAAACAAATGCGAAACCACTTTGATTATTTAAAAGGGAAATACAAAGCGTGGCTGAAACTGAAAAATAAGGGAGACTATGTGTACGATCCTTCAACCAACTCGTTTAATTTGACACCTGAGCAATGGGAATTGGAGATTCAGGTCATTTTCTTGCTTTATTTTCTTTTTCCAATTTATTTTGTTTATATAATTACTTGTAACTATCTTTGCAACTCTTGTTTACACAGTCAAATAGATACGTTGAATCGTTAAGGACTACGAGTCTCCCATTTCCTGAGTTGTGTGCACAATTATTTGAGGGCGGTGTTTCCATGGGAATCGGAAGCTTTGAACCGTTATCAAATGACCTCGAGCCAAGTACCGAGCCCCTCTATCTTCACAACAAAGAGGAGGTGCTGATCTCCGACTCACAATCCACGTCCTCAATACCCGCTTCTTCATCTCATTCTCAAGTAAGAAAAAACAAGAGAAAAGGTAACCAATCATGCTCCGATATAGATGAGAGAATATTGAATATTCTAAAAGCTTTGATCGCAATACTTGGGAACCGAAATAGAGTTGAACCTCCCACATATAATGCATGTTTACAAAGACTTTATGAGCTTGGATGGGCAAAAGATGATCCATTATTTCGTATTGCAATGGCTCTTCTTAGTGATAAAGATAATAGGGAGGCATGGATGACGATACCACCAGAATTTGCGGTTGATTGGGTTAAAACTGTTGGAGACAAACAGGGCTATAAGTAGGTGGTTAGATGTCTATGCCATTTGTTTATGATATTAACTGACTTTTAACTTTATCATGTTTGATGACTCTTGTTTGGAAGTTTATTAATGATGCTTGCAAATTTGTTTATAAATATTTATGATCGGATATATATCCATCAACTCTTGAGGAACAACTTTTGTTTGTAATTATATTATATTGGTATATAAGACAGAGATGGAATTCTTCAACAAGAATTGAAATATTATGTGACAACACTGATAATCAGGGGACATGCGTGCACATAAAAGTTAAATCGTGTTCGATGGGAAGGATCCCGATGGATGGATCCTAAAGGCTGAGAGGTATTTTGCACTAAATCGATTGAGACAGGAAGAGAAAATTGATGTATCATTTATTTATTTATATATTTATTATTATTTTTTTGATTAACCTGGATATTCAACCCGCTATATATGAAGTGATTAACAAAATGGGTTTAGATCTTCATCGGCTCAATTAAGCAAAAAAGAACAGTGATCATAACAGGTAATGGAAGAGGAAAACCCTAAATGAAGTAATCCAAGTTGGTTCAATATTAAGATACATACATATGATGTAGCTCCATGGTTCCATCCCTTTGTTAATGTTAAGAAGTCCATCCATAGTTGTAAGGAGAAGGTGGTATTGCTCACCGTCATTCCAGAGTGAACGCAAATGACATCAAGAGCTTCCGCATTAACGGAGCCTCAGGGGTCAGTTCCAGTTCCAGGATTCTCTTCATATGGATCGAAGTCCTGAAATATAAATGAACTCTTGTAACTGAGCATCGTTAGAAATTGACTTGTGTTATTTTCAACAAAAAATGTGGAGATGGAGAACAAAACAAACAAAAAGTACTACTAAAATATCAAAGATGTGAGAACAGATGCACAAATCGAAGAACAGACAACAAAACCTATAATTTTTGACATGCCCATCTTGTTCTTCTATTGCATATTTGTGATTTACATGTAAATGGAACAAGTTGTGTCGATTAACAATACACCCAAGAGAGGGCATCACCGATGGAAATTATTGAAGGAAAAAATCCATTGCAAAACACACGTGATTTTCTCATTTTAAAAAGAGAAAAAAGAAAATATTTAAATATCCGTCGATAAATCATCGATGAATGTGGATTTTATTGTAAAAACAGGCTCGTACATTTTATTTTCAAAATCCAAGCAGGTTAGTGTAAAGGAAATTTGGTATTTTTAAATTACTAAAAAAATTACCGACTGGTAATTAATTTATTATTATTTTTATTTTCGTCGATGATCCATCGGTAGTCTAGGCTGTCGGTGTAATTGACGTCGTCAGTAATTAAGGTCATCGGTAATTCGTCAATAATTGTGTCCATGGGTAATTAATCCGTCGGAAATTGTGGCCATCGGTGATATCTGTCGGTGAATCCTTTTCAACGACTTCTTTACCGAGGGACTTTCACCGACGGATTACCACCATATCCAACTTTTAGCGATGAATTTTTCCGTCCGCGAAAGTCCTTTGTTTTGTAGTGTATAGCATTCAAAAAATTTAGGGGTTGTTCAGAAGTGGCTTAATGGGCTGTATACCTATATAGCGTATTTTCTAAGCCATACAACAGTGCTATGCTATGACTCTCAATCAATAAAAAAAACTACTTTTTCGCACAACCCAAAAACATGTGTCCTATCCGGTCAGCCATGAAATTTCCATCTCATGCCCTTCTCTAAAACTTAACTCTTCCATCCTCATCAAATCTATCATCTTCCTGATGTTGACCTACCTTCTTGTTCTCTCTGGAACGACTTTCTTCTTCTCGCTGTCTCCTCTTGATCTTCCTGAAATCAACCATGTTTCCTCTTCCCTTTCTGAACTCATTATTATGTTCTTGAAATTCGTATTTGCCATCCATGGATAGAGGTGGACGTTGAAGGAGATGGGTATTTTTTTTAATGAAGTTACTAACATGCCCTATAAATCGGTAAGGTACATTGATGGTTTTGGGTTTTAGTTTTTCTTACTAGGTTTTTGGACAATGCAGAGAAGAAACCACGTAAAGGCTTAAAAGCTTCGGTTCTATTTCATCACTCACTCACTCACCCATTTATCACACCTAGTTGTCATTGAAACTGAAGAACATTCATATCGTCTTCTAATCAGGTACCTTCTCTTTCCCTAATTTCTCAGTTTTTTTTTTCGATTACTGATCGGGTTATTTACAAAAGAGTGAACCATTGTTGGATTACATTAGAAAATAGAATAAAAGTGCTCAAAAGCAAGCTTCAATGACAATTAGTTCAATGGTTCAAACTACAGTGAATCAAGTAGTTTTTAGATCAAGCTGTTGAATGTGATTTAGTTGAAACAAACAAAATGAAATCAAACTTGTTCTTAGATGTTGTTGATGAATGTGATCTCTTTGAAATAAGCTCTTGAATAAGATTGTAGTTGATGTTGTATCTGTAATATGGTTGAACCAAATAATAGATGGGAAAAATGGAAAACATAGCACGTTCTATTTCAATCTATATGTTCTCTTGACACAAATATAGATTGAGGGGTAAAATGGTCATTTATGATATTCAGACTGTTTATTCAGCACAACAACCGAACAACAATCTATCTGTTATCATACAGACAACTTTATCCATACAGTTATTAATAAAAAAACGAATCAAACAACCCCTTAATGTGTTCCGTTTTTGCTGTAAAATAAGTGGAACCATACACATTTTTACCAAAAAAAAAGGGAAAAGAGCTGAAGAAGTAAGAGGTCAGATTACTAGGCGTACCAATGAAAGCAATCCTTTCCATTTGAAAAATTACCCTCAAATCAGTTTTAGCTTCATAAAACAAAGGTGCAAAGGTGCAATTTTTATAAAAATGGTTTTACTTCTCAACGTTACACCAGAACTCACAAAAAGCTATCTTCCATTACTTGATCATTAACATAAGACAACGTAACCACAAAGGTTACGACGTAATGATTGAGGTCATGGGGATGTAGTGGAATGTCGCATCTGTCCGGGGTTTAATTTCAGGCATACACAACAACTGTGACTACTGAGTTTATTTTAATAAGTATTTATATGTATTATTTTTTAAAACTTCTTATGAAAAAAAAATTATCAAAACTAAGTTTTACTAAAAATGTATAAATGCACATGTTATTAATTATTATATTTTATCATTTAAATTATATATAATTAATGAAGTAGTAGTACTCCACAATGCTAAATGCACATGTGATAAGTTAAATGCGGTGACTCCAAGTCATCTGCAAAGCAGATGATCGTTTTGGAATTAGTCTACTTGTATAGCGGGTTAGATATCTAGGTTAATAAAAAACTAAACGTACACTTTGAAAAACTAAAGGTCAACAATTTAGAAAGTCAAAGCCTTCTGCTTGAACAAAATATGATTCTCCTGTGTAAAGTTATTCATTGTTTTATTTTTTTGGCAATCAAGAGAAAGACACATGACTTCACATGGCATCTTACATTTTTAATATTATGATTTCAATAAAAGACAATTAAATTTTTAACTTTTTAATATTAAATATATGATACCCATAAAAATATGTTGGAAACGAAGCATCATGATTTAACAATATCGTCTCATAAACTTTAAAAAAAATAGTATCTTGATTGATTTTGTATGGTTTAAAGTTAACTGACAGATAAATTTACAGTCACTTCAAAAAATCTTAAACTGATAATTATTGAAAATAAACTCAAGATTTTACTGGTTGAATTGCTCCCTATATATAATTATGAACCATACTTGCTTTGAGAAAGAAAGGTTTTACCGTTCTGTTTTGAGCTTTTGCTTCAAAAGCGATCGGCTACAACTTCTAGAAGATTACTCGAATTAGAGCAATGTATCTTTTTCGTTAAAAAAATGAATCTTGAAATTAACGAATCTATTTTCAACCTTAAAACTCCTAACTATTTCTTTCACAATTGCGGACGGTATTGTTGCGTTATCATTTATCAGCTAAAATGATACTCTATGTAATATTGCAACGTGTGCATGCTATTAGTCATTTTGCAATCGTCAATTCTAATTCAGTATCTAAATCTTTTGAAACCAAACTGTACAATAACAATTTTCTGACCTAAGAAACTAACAACCGTTAAGATGACCTCTTTTATTTTTATTTAAACTAGATTTCACAAAAAAAAAATATATTATTTGATAGCATGTTACATAAAGGGTGTTTTAGGAAATACGACTTCGACATTATTACGTGGATGATAAATCTTGTCAAGATTAACGTTCCATGATTGAGTTAGGTGTGTCGGGGCGTTTGTATAGGTACCATCAAATTTCAAGGGCCCATGTCAATCGACAAATAATTGGAGCTTTTACTAGTAAAGTAAGATCAATAAAAATAAGTTCGTAAATAAATGATAATACATAACTCGATGATTTAGCAAAAAAAAAAAGCTTAGTTGCATTCAATTAATGAACAAATGTTCATATAAAGATCTTAGAATATATAATGTACATCATGAATAATGATTAGCCATTTTCTTGATCTATAAACCAAAAAAAAAAAGAAAAAAACACACAAAGAAGAGTACATTATATTTTGGAGTGGATGGACCAAAATACCCACGGTTTAGCCCTAATAATATTAGGAAATCTATAAAGATAATATCACAAAAAACAGTGGAAAAACGTGGGTATTTTGGACTATTGAGAAGCAAAAGAGTAAATGAAGAAGAAAAGATCAAACATTTGTTAATTGTGAAGAGGATCTGGGCAACTGGGTACGGCTCTTTTGTTTTCTTGAAACCTTTTGTCGTCAGTAGAAGTGGTGTTGAGATCAGCAAATCTGCCATTGAAGAACTTTCTGTGAAACTCAGACCGTTTACCTGCATCTGAATCTCGTGGTGGAGGTGGAGGTGGTGTTGATGCGCTTATTGATCTTATAGTGCAATGGTCACTACTGAAGACCCATATTTCTAGGACTGAGAACATGATCAACAGTAGCACCAAGTAAACCTTCTTCCGTCTGCCGGAATATGACATCACCGGCGGCTGAAATCGTCACTGCTGAACCCAAATCAGTATCTTCAGACTCTTTTTTCCGGTGATAATTGTTGTATCTCTACTCTGTGTGTGGATGCAATGGGGGTGTTGAGACTATGAAATCAA